CACCACAACGCCCGGCTATTTTTTGGTTGCAGCCGTCATTGTTGTTTGACAGGTCCGGGCTGGGGATTCGAACCTGCGACCTTAGGTGTACGTGGCTGGCGCCTTAGCCGGTTGAGCTATAGGCGCCGAGCCAAGAAATTTATTTTTTTAAAGATGGGGTCTTGCTATGTTGCCCGGGCAGGACTCAAGCCCCCTAGGCTCAAGCTATTGTTATGTCTCGGTCTCCTGAGTAGCTGGGACTACAAGTACACTCTACCTTACCTGGCTTGATTTAAAAAAAAAATAATCCCTTAAAGATCCAGATATGGTAATTGCCTATCTTCTCTTTGTCCCTCAATCTTCCACTTTCTCAAATATTTTTTGTTGTTGTTTTACTCTGTACAGTTTCCCTTTGTTCTCTCAGTCAGTCAATGTTAATCCAGGATAGCTATCACTAACCACAATCTTGAAGAGTCTTTTTTGTTTGTTGTTTGTTTTGTTGTTGCTGTCATTGTTGTTTGGCAGGCCTGGTTCAGGTTTGAACTCACCAGCCCTAGTGCATGTGGCCGGCACCCTAACCACTGAGCAACGGGTGCTGAGCCTTGAAGAGTGTTTTTTAAAACTGAGCATGTACTGAGTATCTGACCATGCTGAACATACCACGCATGCTATCTCATTCAGCTCTCACAGTCTCTTATCATTTCTCCTCTCTCAGGAGAATAAATTAGAGCACAGTGAGTTTAGTTGAGTTTGCCCCAAATCACAGAATTAGTAAGCTGTAGGATTTGAATCTAGATCAATCAACATCATAACCTGGGTTCTTAATTTTCATGCCAAACTGAGCTAGTGGCAGAAGAGAAGTGGGGCAGACTAGAAAGACAAATCGAGTGGCAGCCCCCAGTCCCCAGCACCTGCCCGGCGTGTAGGAAGTGTTTGGTGACTACTGTTGATGGATGCAGTTATTACACCTGGACATTTTTTCTTTTTGTTCTTTCTAGTCAGTGGTCCCTAGGTTTACCAGTAATCCACCCACTTTTCTCCACCTTGCACCTGCTTCTCCCTCCCCACCCCCTCTGCCCTCCATGAGCTATCATCACTTCCCACCAGAGCTACTGCAGTAGTTAATCTGGCCTGTCTTCCAGTTGGCTGTCCACACAGCAGCCAGAGAGACCTTTCTAAAAACTCAAACCTGAGCTCATATTCCCCTGCCCGTGGTCTCTTAGTGGTTTCTTGTTCATCTTGGAACAAGATCAGTGACCTTTCCCTGTCCTATCTTGCCTTGTCTGGCCCTGGTCAGTGCTTTGGTCTCACTCTGTGTCCTCCAACCACAGCAGGTCCTCCTGGTCACTACTTTCCCACCTCAGAGTTCTTGCATGTGTTGTTACTACTGCCTGGAAGGCTTTTCTTCCATACTCTCCCTCTCCCCCACTCCGTTCTCAATCCAGAGGTTCCTGCCTATGGAAAGCCTTTTCTGACCCTTAAGTCTTTTACCTCTCTGTGGTGGTTAGCACATTTATTATATATTTATGTGATTAATTAATATGCATTTCCCACTAGACTGTGAGCTGCAAGTGTTTATACAGTGCCTGGGACATAGTGGGTGTTCTAGAAATAAATATTTAGTAAGCAAAAGAAAGACTGACTGACTGAATGAATGAATGAACAAAGAATAAACAGAGCCAGAAATAGATTGACTGAGACTTCTGGCTGAGTATTTCCTCTTGTTAGAGGGAAGTTAAAAAAAAAGATAATTTCACTATATTATGGACTATGAGTTTGCTTGTGGCTTATAGAGATTGTGTTATTTTCCACCCATTGACTTGGTGATAAACCTAGACCCAGAGAGGTGAAGTAACCTGCTCAGAGTACACAGCTAGTCAGTGTCAGATGCCTTTGCTCTGACCTTTGAATTGTGTGTAGGGAGAAACATAGGTACTGTGTTTTTATTCCCCTCCAGGGAATCTTTGGTGTGATGTCTGTTGGAGCTGCATAAATATTTAATAATATCGATGTTATCATGTCTGGATGTTAAAGTGTTTTTTTGAGAACATGTATTGCTATTTTTTTTTTCTCCCTACCACTGCATTCAGAACGGTATTGCACAGAATACTCAGAAATGTGGCCTTAGAGATTTGTGTGTCCTGCAAGACGGTGCCCATAGTTACAAGCAGCTTGTGTTTTACTGGCACTGGGACTAGGCAATAACTGCCCTCCCCATATTCTTGGGGTCTGGAGATAAGAAATGCCACGTCCCCTCTCTCTGGCCTGTCAGCAGGAGGGCACATTTGATTAGCAAGCTCCAGAAATGCCTGTGCACAGATGCAGAACAGCTGGTATGTGATGAATTGATGCCCAAGACCTCCCAAACTGAGAAAGGACGTGAGCAATCCCAGAACCCTCCCTCCTCGGTTCTGGGACTCCATTAAGTGTTTAAAATTCACCAGGATGTGAAATTACCTCTCTTTTCAAGTTCTCTAGTAATGTGCAGTCCCTACAAACCTCCACTGGTACCTGAGCCGGGGAAGGCTAAGGAAGCATCCCAAGGTGTTCGCCTGCCTGCTGGCTGGTTTCTGGCCATGCCTGGGTCCAGGAGTGGCCCCCTTTGTGGTGCAAGGCAGTGTTTTTGTCCTGCAGGTACAGTAGGTGCTGGATTAAACAGGTCTGCTGTTGCAGACACACCAGGCACTGTTCTAGCAAGGAGCTGTGTTTGGATTGGAGTTTCCAGGGCCTTATCAGGAGCCACCCCTAGTGACACAGCCAGTGCCAGAACTAACTTTGACTTTCACTCTTCGCCAAGGGCTCGCAGAACACCTTAAAGGAAAAAAGATGGAGGCGCTTAGAGTTCAGATGTTCATGCCATGCTCCTTTGAAAGCTTGTGTCTGTAAGTGAAGTTTTATTCTGGAAATAATCCTGGGACCACTTAGCAGAAGCATTTTATTTTCTTTTTAAGGGGGAGGATAGAGGAAGGGAATGTTTTATTGGGAGTTAAAAATACTGGAGCTGTTACTTTGTGACTGGCTTTAATCAGCTTCAGCTGTAACCTCTGATAGGCGGCTATGACAAGAATTGTAGCTAATTTGTGGGGTGGGGAGATGGAACTGCTAGCTCCGTATCTTTGTCCTCTTGTTTAATATGGAATGTTGGTCCTAAGTTAATAATGACCAAGAAACCTGGCTGCCTGAAAAATCTGACTTAGAGCAGAGCATGATTTATGATTGCAAGATAGATTGAAGCCAGCTTTGTTATGAATAGAAAAGAATTTTCTTCAGGAAAATAGTGTGCTTGCACTGTAGTGACCTTTGTCAAACTGCCCCAATGTGAACATTCTGGATTTTTAATCCCCTACTTTTTCTGATAGTGGAATAATAGTTGTATTGATAAGCATCTTATTTGCATTTTTGTATATTGATTTTTTTTCTTTGAGGGGGAAAATAAAACATCCAAACACCAGCATTATCTGCCTGACATATATATGTAGAATAAGTTTGAAACTGGAAATTTCAAAGAAATACTAAAATGCAGAAAAACTAACTGGATGGCAACCCCCCCCACCCTCTTTAACATTTACCTTCACTGTTAGGTGATGAGATTTGGAAGCAATACTAAAAGCTGTGTCCCTAAGTGAATAGGCATTCAAGCAAATCAACTTATGCAAAAGCCACCTCTGGAGCTTAATAATTATTTACTGAACGTTCCTGGGTCATGAGAGAGGTTCTGATTAAGTCAGAAGAGCATTATGTTCAGCAGCTTGTGAAGGTGTGTTTAAAGATGGCAAGAATAATGGAAAAATACTAGAGGTAGCAGAACTATTTTTAGAATTTGATTTTTTAAAAAAAATAAAACTCCCCTAAGTTTAAGTGTGAGTTAAAGTTCATCATTTTCAGTAGATGCAGCTTGAAAAGGTGTCATAAGAGGTGGTTTTAAAAGAGATTTCTCATTTCTTATGCTTCTATTTTTGCCAAGTTTAGTTTGCTTTAATAAATGCTTTAGATTTCTTTTTATTCTCTTGTGTCATTAAAACAATTTAATTACTTATCTCTATAAAATGAGGTCACATTTTATGAACGAAGTGTATATAATTATGTATTTAAAATGTCATTATGCTAGAAATGTTATAAATTTTTGCCTTATAAATCAGGTGAGAGTGGGGAGATGATGTCTGCATGTTGTGATTCATACCCTATAGGAATGTCCTCTGTAACTTACCAGGCTACTTAAATATTAATTTTAAGTGAGTTAATGGATGGTAAGAGCAGGTGAAACTTGCTATTCTGATACAGCGTATGAACAGTGGTTTTAGCAAACTGGAATTTACACCCAAATTCTTAATTTTGAATTTCTTTTTTTAGTTCATTCAAATACTTGTCATAGGAACATGCTTCCCTTAGGAACTCCCAGAATGAAATTCTTAGCAAATATCTTTGACAAAACTTGTTCACTGGGCTGTTGCCCATCATCTTCTTCTGCATTTTTTTTTTTTTTTATGGAGGGCACACAGCGTGAATTAATGGTTTGTTTTATATTTTTTTCTAGGAAAGCAAAGGAACAGGATCATAGCAGGTGACAGTATAGAATTTTGGCACCCTAGAAAGTAATATGTTGGTTTTCACTAGTTTGTAGATTTTCAGATGTTCAGAGGATACTATTTCAGGAATTAAAACACAGTATGGAAGACTTCATCGCCTTTTACTTGCCGCCCTTGTTTGTGGACTGTTCTAAGCATCTTACCTGTACTAACATGTTTCGTTCTCACAACGGCTCTATGATGAAGGACTTTTTTCCATCCCAATTGGGCAAGTGACAAAACTGAAGTTTGGGCAGGTGAAAAAATCCTGCCCAAGTCATACAGCTAAGGAATGGTAGAGCCATTAACCCAGGCATCCTAGCTCAAGGACTTACACTCTGTTGCCTTCTCTGGATTTTCATTCAAGATCCTAAATGAATCAATATTTCTTTCTCTGCTCTTTTTTGAGTGGATTTCTCCCATCCCCAGATTTCTAAATTATCAGACCATAACTCAGTTGAGCTTTCGAGGAGCCACAATCAGTCTCTGGAGCATAGTGTTTGTCTAGAAAATGGACCTCTGTTTCCTTAAGTCCAATTCACTGTTGATTATAAGGCAACTGTTTGGGTGAGCAGAAAACTGTCAAAATATATTCATTGATCGAACTATCTCTTCTGATTTAGGAAATCTTAAAATATGGAGGGCAAGTTCCTTTTAGAATTAAGGAAATACTGTAGATCCCTAGAGCTCAGAGTTCTTCATCCCAGATGATTTAAACAAATGGTTAGAATAAAGGTCCTCCAGCACTGAGCTTAGAGTATTATTAGATTCTGTAGGATAGAGTATTTGTTAGGAGAGAGACACCAAATTTAGTGATTGAAAGAAACACTTTTTTTTTTTTTTTAAATTACTATGTGCTTAGGAATGTATGTAAGTGAAGAAAACATGTCAACATTTCTGCCTCCCTGGAGCTGATCCTGCCAGGTTATGAGTGGCCAGGTCCATACTATTGCAGCTTTAAGTCTAGACCTCAGCCTAGAGGGTACCCAGCCAAAGCAAAGAGAATGTAAGTGAAGAAAAAGAGTATGTA